AGAGAGAGAGAGAGAGAGAGAGAGAGAGAGAGAGAGAGAGAGAGAGAGAGAGAGAGAGAGAGAGAGAGAGAGAACAGGTAAGTCTCCAACCTCGCGGCTGGCCTCATGGTTTCCAACCTCACGGCTGGCATCAGTAATACCGCGGGGCTGTGGTAGTACGGATTCATTTCGAACCTACCAAGTGCTCCAGACCACAGGAGAAGCAACCCAAAAAAAAACAGAAAAAAAGAAATATAGAGTTCACGCGCGTCAGGGGCATAGTTTTTTTTTTGCGTATTCACCTAGTAAGCAATACTAGTAAGCATTTTGTGTTTGCCGTACTCTGCTGAAGGGAGTAGTGTTTGTTTTTGTTTTTTTACAAGGGCAATTTTTATAGGAGCCCAGTGTCCAAAGTATAACACAGGAATCATGTCGTATGTGCGCCGCAGAGGCGGCCAGGTCCCTATGGGCCTGCAACAGGCTGAAAATCAGCATTCCATTAGAGTAGATGATTAGACCCTAAAAAAACAGAAAACAATAGAAAAAGAAAGCTAGTCACCGATCACACCAACATCGATAACAGCAAGAACAATGATTACAACAACAACAACAACAACAACAACAACAACAACGTCAGCAATACTTGTTCTACGATCTCTCCCCGCATGGCGCGAACGGAGTAACTGTTGTCAACTTGTCGCCCCTTCTTGCTCGCCTTTCTGCCGGGAGGCCGCATGGCGCGAACGGAGTAACTGTTGTCAACTTGTCGCCCCCCCTTGCTCGCCTTTCTGCCGGGAGGGGAGGAGGTTACATCCTGTTTGATGGCTCAAGTACAGAGGGTTTCCCTGCACCCTGCCTTCCTTCGATGACGTGGCTCATGCAAATGAATTTGACACAGGTACGCGTTTGGAGTCTGCCGGGATTGGTCTCTTTTGGGGCAACCTGGGGTCTCGTATTGATGATGGCTGGCAGGACTCCATATCGTCGACAGCCTTATTCACCAAGGTGGGGGGGATGGTGCGATTAGGTATTGGGTAAGCAGGAATGTATAGCGGAGGATGGGTGATTGAGATTTGCGAGTTGGGGAGCTCTGTTCTGTCCTCCTTATCCGGTAATTCCACTATTTCGCTGTCCCCTTCTGTCGATAACCGTCGATTTTTCATCACAGATAACCCATGCTCTTCCAGGTTGATCAACAGTGCTGATATACTAACTACAGGAGGAGTGATGTGGGTTTGTTAGGAAGTTCTCGTTTCCTCCACCTTATGCAATGAGAAAAACGAGGAGACCTACACGCCCCGTACCTTATGGAGGTACAGGGAGTGTGGATCTCCTCGTTTTTCTCCAACCCATGTCAAAACATAATTGCTAAATTCCTAATAAGATCGTTGTACTCTAGCTATTGGCGCTCCCCCCTTTCATGGTGGTAGTGTTAAATCTGGGAAATGGGTGATGCGTTTTAGGCTAAACTAGGGTTTGTGTCTGAATGTTGATCTCATTCGACCCCTTTGCCCTGCTACAACTTCTCCTCTCTTCTGTTGGTGTTAAAGGGTTCCAAGTACTGACGTTGTGTTGAACAGGGTCTTGACATCATTGTATAAGGGACGCTGGACCCGAATTCCAGCTGACACATGTTATTGTACCGGGACGCTGGACCCAATTTCCAGCAGGTGTAGCTCCCCACCAATAGATGGAGCCTTCAACGTCAGGACCCACTTAACGGGGCTGTTCTTATCACCTTGCACTAGTACCTTTCCCACGTGGGACAATAGGGAAAACTGGCAGTTTTCCCAAACTCCTGAATCTTCGGAGGTCGGGTCCGATGACGACTACCTTTGATAAATCCGATCGGCGGCCGTCATGTCGTTTCGGCCTCTGGAAAGGTCGGATGCCTACCCGAGGCCCGCTATTTTCCCAGGCGGGAAAGGTACTGGTGGGTCGGGTCCGATGACGACTACCTTTGATAAATCCGATCCGTGGCCGTCATGTCATTTCGGCCTCTGGAAAGGTCGGACGCCTACCCGAGGCCCGCTATTTTCCCAGGCGGGAAAGGTACTGGTGGTTTAAGTCGGATCTCCCGCATATGGAGCTTTTGTATTTAAAAAAAAAAAAAAAACTCCCTCCCTAAATACGGGCCCAAGAACTCGTAAAGAAAGAAGGCAAGAACTGCCAAGAAGAACGCCCTACCTTCTCCCCTACAACATAGACGTACTAGATCTCTCCATTCATAATAGTAAGGCCCTCGTTAGAACCTCCTTGAAAATCCTCAGGAATGTCGAAAGTTATGGTTACACCGCGTCCTAAAAAACAAAAATCCTTGAAAAAAATGTGCAAACGCTCCCAAGAGATTTCCTTGGGTCCCTCGGAATCCCCAGCCGTGGTCCATCGGGCGGACAATATCGGCTTCCAACCGGCGGGAGGTCACCAACGGCCTTGTGGTGTTACCGTTCGCGCGTACACGGCCGGGGGTCCTGCTTCGGGTGCGACAGACGTCGAAGCGGTGGGGTTCTCCTTCTGCGCTTTGTCGGGCGTCGTGTCCAACGGTCGAATATTTCGAAATTTGTTTTATGTGCGGGGTGTGATGTTTTCGCCGGCCAGCCCATATGCTGCCATTCGCGTGCGCGCGTGGGGGTTGTCCGTTCGGTGGTGATCTACACGTGGTGCGTTTCATGGCAGACATCTTCTGGCGGCTACCGCTCCTGTTACTAGCAACTCTTCTGCTGCTTCTTCTCGTCTTTTTGCGCGCCTTCTTCGTGCCGCGGCCTCCTGGGCGTAGACAAAGACGACAAGTGGATAGGTAGACGATGATGGGCACGGGACAGCTCCGTCGGACAGCAAAGACGTGTGATGGATTTCTCCATTCCTGATCGGCCCCTGTCCAGCCATCGACCCGCCGCATATGACCCGTCCTTGTACAGTCATCTTCCACCGCACGAGCAGCCGTTGCCGCTGGATCCGGAGGGCGCCTGGGTTGAGGATCTGTTGCACACACTTCCTCTGGGGAGTGGATCTACGCAAAAGTGGATGAGCAGGCAGTGCCAGCAGAGGGAAGCAGGGACCACGCGCGAGTCGTTCACCGCATTGCTGGAGGAGGGTGTCGACAACGCTGCCACGGAGCTTGTGGACTTGGATTTCGGATTGTGCAGCGGGAGTGGTGGTCCGATCCACGACGGGGTGGTGGTGGGAGCGCCGACGTTCGGAGGAGGATCGTCCCGTGTCGGTGGGCCAACGAATGGGTGTTGTCCACCGGTCTCGAGTTCCATGGGCGCTGGGCCACTTGGCGAGTCGTCAAGGGCTGTGACACCACCCGTCCCTCGGTGTCTTCGCCTGCAATGCGGCAGAGGGCGACCGCAAGTGCTGCAATCAATGATGGGACTCCATCGGAAGACATCGGGAGGCAGGCGTGGGAGAACTGCCACCTACAGATGCGGCGTGCTGCCGCGGAGAACATAACCACCGGTGTGTCCAGGCTGCGTGTGGGGACCGACGTGGATGCGGACGACGGCCGTCGGGCGAGTGGGGACGAGTCTCCGGATTCCCGTTACGAAGACGACGCGGAAGACGGTGAGGGGTTGGAGATCCGACCCGTGGCTGCGCGTGGTGGGCGGAGGGGAGGACGCGGACGTCAGCAAAGGGGCGAGTCGCGTGGTGGCCGAGGATCGAAGGCTCCTGTGGGCGACAAGGGTGGCAAGCACCCATCTTGGAGTGTGGAGGAGATGCTGAAGCTCGCTCGAGCGAAGCGGGATCAGCAAGCTCATTTCGAGGGAATCCCGCACAACTACGGCCGCATGCGCGACAGGGAGTGGAAGCTGCTGGACCTACAGAGGCGGCTGGAAGGTCGGAGTGAACAGGGCAACGGACGACATCGGGAAGAAGTGGGATAACGTCTTCCAGCAGTACAAGAAGGTGCAGCGTTACCAGAGCATGTCCGGTGGGAAGAACTTCTTCACATTAACTCCTGCAACGAGAGCGGACGAGGGTTTCAACTTCCAAATGGATGAGCGAGTCTTCAATGAGATCGACAACATGTCGAAAAATAACAAGACCATCTACCCGGACAACGTGGCAGACACGAGCGCCCGCGGAGGAGTGCCGCCAGCAATGGATGGTCACCGCCAGGCGGTCGTTGGTGGAGAGTCCTCTGCTGGTGGAGAGGGGGGTGATGGCGTCGACGAGGATGTGGGTTCAGTGCGGGAGTCGGGCTTCAGTGCAAGGAGCACGGGCACTCCAACAAAGAGGAAGAACATGCGGCAGCAGACCTTCGACGCCATCGCCGAAGTCATGGACAAACACGGTGCATTGATGGCGGACACGGTAGAGGGTGCGAGCAAATGGCAGTGTAGCATCCTGGAGCGGCAGTGTGACATCCTGGACCGGAGGTTGAAGCCCAGAAGCGGCAGTGTGACATACTGGAGAGGCATTACATGGCGTCCGATGAGGCGAACAGGATGATGTGCACGACGTTGATGGAGATTGCCAGAGCGATAAGGGACAGAGCTTGACGCCGGTGGCGTGAGGTTTGTTAAGTCGTTGTGGTGGATTCGCCCGCGAACTGGCCCGTGGCGAAATGTGGTGCCGCTCCTCTGACAACGACAGAAATCCAGGAAACAAGGCGGGGGATGGTGTGCGCGATGGCCGTCTACCCTCGCGCGCTTCGAAATGTTGAGTCGCTGGCCCTCAATGGCAGGGCCGTCCATTCCCTGGACCGCACTGTCCCTTGGTATTTGGGGTGGTCTGCCCGCATGCGGAATGGGTGATCGTCGCCGCCGTCGCGTGGAGGGGTGTGCTGGAGGCCGTCTGGGCGGGATCCGCGCGCCGAGGGAGGGGAAATGTCACCGCGAGCACTATAAAGGTCCGCGCGAGCGCTATCTTGTCCATGTCTTTTGGTTCTCAACTGCACGCAAGGCCACGCGTGGGGTTTCCGTTGTGCTGCACGGGGAGCTGAACATCGCCCGCGCAAAACGATCCCTGGCGACTTCCTCTCAAGCGCTGTGGCAGTCCGGTTTCGTTCACGGGGCGTGCGCATCCGACCGTCAGCAAATGGCGCCACGTGGCCAGTAGAAGCCGAAACGTCCACGGTGGTTCCAACGAAGCAGGTGTAGGGCAAACAGGAAGGGGCCACGTCCCAAAGTCGAAGAAGCTCCGTGTGGGAGACAGGTCGGAAGGCGAGATGGGGGGTGACGGGGGAGAGGAGGTGACGCCTATGGACATCACTTCTGCAGGGACGCCTGCGCTCGGGTTCGGGCGAGACGGTGTGAGCAGGCAGCGTATGCTTGCGCTCACCAACCTTGATGCCCTCACGTCCACGCGCGGTGGCGGTGGCGGGACGGCTCGTGCGCAAGGAGTTCTGTCTGGTGACATTCCGCCGCAGAGGGCTGTGGGTTCTGCATCTACCATCGCATCCGTGTCTGAGCGCGGCGATAAAGCTCCGGTCGGTGAGTCTCCATCGTGCCACGTGGAGGCGTCCAACCCGACGATCGTCGGCGCTTCGCCGAGGGCTATGCTTCAACCCGCGCAAGCAGCGAGTGCCGCTGGCCATGCCGCCGCCCTCGGTAGTGGAGAAAGGCGAGAAGATCGGAGGGTGGAAGATGCGGGGAGAAAACAGGAGAGGAGGGAGGAGAGTCCGCATGGGGAAGAAGAGGACGACCAGCCTCTGAGCGCGAGGAAGAAAAGGTCCCGCCAAGAGGAGGAGTTGGAGGCAAAATCGAAGCTGTGGGTAGACGGCAAAGCGTTCTGGGCAACCGGCCCCGGACGGATGATCGCGGACGCGGTGCATTCCTACGCGGACTACTTCTGCACGATCGTCAATGGAGATGCAGGCGCCAAGGCCTCATGATGCCGCCCCCCGAAGTGCGGATCGAAGATGGCGCGCAATGAGGGCCGGCTCTCAGACGGGCGAGACGAACGGAGAACGTGGAAATGTGCGTCATCCACGGGTGGATATTCAGGTCGTCTTCAAGGTCCGATGGTTTCGCCCGCGCGGAGTCCTACATCGCCACAGATTACCCCACCGACCTGGCGAGAGCAGTTTGGTAGAGCTTGGAGTGGTCGAGGATAGTGCCGCCCGCCGTAGTTTACCACACGGTCGCTTTGAAGATGGACATCCCAGTGTGGTTCGCCAGGGCGTATATCGAGAACAGGCCGGAGGACGATGACATGGTCGCGCACCAGGAGGCGACTGTGATGCATCTTGCATCATGCTTCCACGACGCGCTCCAGGTCGGGCAGTGGTGGGACGGCGGTAGATTGTCACACCAGAGACTGAGCAGAATCGGGGATGCTTTCCACCTGCTTTTCGCCGCGTGCATGTGGGTCATGAGCATGGGAGGCGACGATGCACGCTCCTACGAGGAGGCGTCTTACTACGCGCAGCTGGTGGCAAAACCTACTCTCGTGGCGGTGTGTTCATCGTCCTTCAACTGGCGCCGCCATGTGATGCACTCGGCGAACGTGGTCCCGAGTCGCCTGCGGAAGCCACCGTTGACGCTGGGCGCTTTCCCTGACTACATCCCGGAGTGGGCTTCGTGCGGAGTGTGGTACAACTGCAACGCTGGTCTGGCGGACCCCGACGTCGCGGCGAGAGTGGACTGGATGGGGACGGGACCTTTTGAAGGCGATCTGAAGGAGGACGGTACAGAAGACGAAACAGGAGCGTAAGTGTCCTCGATATGGCCGTCTTGCGTGACAAGGAAGAAGGTATCGCCCGTGGAGTGAAGCGGTCCGTCATTAAGGTTTGGACATGGCGGGAAATGGAAGTGCCGAATGGGGGGGGGGTGGATTGGACGGCGAGGGGGGGGGGGCTTGCATGGGGGCTCGGATTCAGGGTATGATGGCGACGAGCGCAGATGGTTAACATGCAGTGACGCGTTTCGCCACGCGAGGGCCCCTTCTAAGATTGTGTTCCCGTTTCGCCCCGCCGCACGTGCGCAATGTGTCTCGTCTCCCGCCGGCGCTTGGTACTGTTAACCGACCTCCGAGAGAGGTCGACTTTGTAGGGTATTTGAAGGTGCATTGTGAAGTCAAGGCGATGGTTGGTCTGCGCCAGGAATGACGAGCGGCGCCTTTTATTACTCTTTTTTGAAAACGACAGTCCAATTTCCATAGGGTTTTGTGAGTGTGTTCATTGGACGGAGTCTAGCAATGGTATGGTGTGTCCCATTGGAATATGACGATGCGTTTCCTCAAATCTCTCTTTCTCGTGATTGGTGTGAATGTCGTTTTCTTCGTGCTGATTGGTTTATTGTTTGGAACGGTCGTTGTTTGGCAATRTGATGGCAAGTATGATCATMTGCGAGTGTGTTAATTGGACGGAGTYCAGCAATGGAACGCTGTGTCCCGTTGGAATATGACGATGCGTTTCCTCAAATCACACTTTCTCCTGTTTGGTGTGAATGTCCTTTTCTTCGTGCTGATTGGTTGATTGTTTGGAATGGTCGTCGGTTGCCAATGTGACGACAAGTATGATCAGTGCACCTCAGTACGGACAGCTTTGCCGGCAAGCCGATGAACTGATCCAATGATCGGTTGATCGGTTGGCCGCCAGACTTGTCCAAGCTAGGGTGTGATGCTCCGCGAAGTCGGGCATTGGTGGTGGACTAGGTTCCGGTGTGTTGATGAAAGCGCACTGAAAACTGCGCAAAAAACGCATTCACGCTTCAGTCCTGCTGAGGAGGCAACAAATCAATGAAAGGCGCATACATCGCCCCTAACATACAAACCGCAACACGCAAAATAAAAAACAAAAAATGAAAGACAATAAAACGAAAAAAAACGAAAGAGAAAAAAAAGGCATTTGGATTGCAATCACATACACGAAACCACACCATYGTCACAGAGCACCGATAGCCGCACACACGCAGCCGGAACTTCGGTCTACGGTACACATTTGAAAAAAGGAGAACAATAACGAGTCACCTCCGGACAGATCACCCCACCGACAGACACCGTCTTCTTCGAAATCGAAATCGCGCAGCTGTGCGCACTCACTCGCAACAAACTGCATCACCGGACGTTAACAACCTACTACAAAACGGTTAGCAAAAAAAAAGGAAAAGAACTACGGATGAACAGCGTCTCTGCCGACGGCTCCGCGACATTAGCTATCGATGACAACCCGCGGTGAACGTACACAACACCCCAGTGCACGGCACACGCCTGCGACAGCGACATAATACAGAACGCCTCCGTTGGACGATGACCCCAGCACGACCTCCACAAGGACGACAGAGCCACGTGCCGTCAACGCGGCGCGCGCCTTCACGCGTGTTTCATCCGCTCCGCCAATGCCTCGCGTAGCGCCAACGCACGGGGCCGATTGAAGTTCTCAGCAATGGGGTGGGGTGGATGATCCAACCCCAAGTCCACTCGCCACTGCACGCCATTAGCATCCACCTCCCACAACAAGTTCTCGTCGAACTCAATGCCAACATCAAGGAGGATGTTGTGCAGAATGCACACGACCTGGAACTGTTGTGGGAGAGTGTCCATATTCGTCTTGTGTGTGCGGAGGAACAGCCTTCACATCCCTTTCAATCTCCCGAAAGCTCTCTCCACTGCTCCCCTGGCGTTCTTTTGCTTGTGTTCGAATCTCTCCTCGTCGGGGATTTGATCGGTCCTCCCGTACGGTACGACAATCCACTCCAGCGGCGGTTACCCGTTGTCGCCCAGAATGTAACCGTGTGTCCTCACTCCGAATGGCAGCACAACAGGAGCTCCACGGAAAATATCCCCCTCCTCCGCACGCGCCCACAGACTGGAGAGCTGAAGCACCCGAATGTCATGGCAGCTCCCTGGGTAACCGACGAAAACGTCCGTGATGCGCAAGTCCAGGTCCACCACCACCTGCGCTACAACGGAGAAACGATGCTTCCGGTCGAAGTAGTTCTCCGAAGGAGCGTTCGCCGGTTTGTCGACGTAAACGTGCGTGCAGTCTATGCAGTCATAGCAATTGGGAAAGCCCTTCGCCTCGAAGGCACGCAGAACGAGCGTACGACGCATCCCAGTAGGCCAAACGATCTTGTCACTGTACACCCTCAGGAGCGCCCTCGTAACGTCCTCCACTGCGATCAACCCGGATGCGCGCCCTATTCCGAATGATGACGTGCTGCTCTCGTACATCTCCCCGCTCGCCCATCGGTACAACGCATATGCGATGATGTGATCCGGCTGCAAAGGAACCTTGTAGAATGTCACCCGACGCTGCAGAAGAGGGGACAACGCCTCCACAATCTCCATGAACACCCTGGGGGACATCCTCAACTTTTCCTTGTAGTACTCGTCTGAGGCGTCGTCCATCTTCCGCAGATCCTCCCACGTGCCACCCGTCCTTCTCCTTATCCACCACCTGGGAGTCGCCCGCGGTATCACCTCAGATGACATGGCGGCGCACAACTGGATAATGGATTTGGACATGGACACGCAGTCTGGCGCCGCCATCACGTGCTGGAGGAGCTCACGCTGCCTGCGAATAGACACTCTCGTCCTCAACCGCGCCGTCGTTCTCTCGATGCGACATCGCATGGCCACCGCCGACACTGCTGCAACCACCGCATTTCTCTCCACCCTGCTCAAGGTCTTGCCACGAACCTCCTGCGACACGTGTTCCATCATGATGCTCCGACGGCGCCTTGTTGAACACTCACAACAGACGGACGACTGGACCCTCATCGCACACTGTCCCAGCGGACGTTGGAGTGGTCGAGGGCAGCTCCTCGTACACGAATCACGGGCGCGCGAAGCTATGGCGAGCCACCGGATCGTCGTCGTCTGCAGGAAGAGGAAAGTGGGACACGCACCACTTCACGCGCTCCAACGTCGTCACCTTTCGCGCCGCGCCGGCTGACGATCGGATGAACGAGTTGCCAACAGCGATGGGCGCCGCAAATCGTCCGCGCACACGTTTCGCACACTGGTAGCTCTAGGGGTGGTAACGCCACGGCGCGCCGGTGCATATGTAATGACGGTTTGAAATTTGAATTTCGAAAAGGAACCTTCGCGCCTCTTTTCGCAGCGCAGCATTGCAGGCCTCCTTGCGCCGCCAGTGGACCACGCCTGACGACGGACATCCTCCCCCGCGGCCTCGTATATGTGTATGAAATTGGCCGCGGGATACCTCCAAGGTTTTTCCTTGGGACCCTTTCGTTTAGGACGCGGTGTAACGCCACCGCCGAATTCCTTGAAATTTTCCAAGGACTTCGTCCTAATTCCTGAGGATTTTTCAAGGAGGGTCTAACGAGGCCCTAAGGGCCTCGTTCGGCACCAGTTGAAAATACTTGAGTTTTAAGGTCACCCGGACTCACGGAAGGTGATTAATTTCCCCTAACTCGTTTTGTCGTTCCACAAAAGATCTCTCCATTA